ATTATTATATATATATATATATATATATATATATATATATATATATATATTAACTTTTAATCTTTTAAAAGCTTAAAGAATAATTCATATTCACATAATAATTTTATTTAATACATTATATTTAAAATTTAAATATACATGTAAAAGATTTCAGAATAAAAAATTGAAGAATATTGCAAATTATTTTTTATATTCCTTTTTAAAATTTCTTACTTTATCTTTTTTTAGAATAAGAAGAAAAATTTAAATGATACTACTTAAATTCTATTCAAAGTGGACGATTCCATTTTCAATATTATAGCTTTCATAAGAATGAAAGTAAAGAGAGAAAAATTTACTTATGAATTTATAAAATTTATCAAATATATTCATGTTTCGTATAGTTATATTTTTGTACTTACTTTTTTTTGAAGTTGTTTGTTGAAAATTTTACACTTTAAATCACAAAAATATTAATTTTATAACAAATAAAATCGGAATGCACTATATCCATGTATAACTGACTTCCCGCCGTGATAGAACTAGCCATCTGGCGGAGAAATAAAAAAGTAATCGAAGAAATACTTCTGTGATTGGTTGAATTTAAACCGCTGTAAAAAGCGGTTGTTGTGTGTTCAACGTACAATGTCAACGGCTTCGTGACACGGTAATATAGTATATTCATCGAAGAAATAATTTTTCAATAATATCAGTGAAAATCTATGATAGAAATGTATAACATGCATTATATTATCAGATTAATAATTAAAAATCTAATAAATTGATATTCATAACGATACAAGAATTGTAAGAACGAAATAATCGACAGAAAATCGTTACAAACTAAGTTGCGTGGTTCGTACACATATGACAAAATATCTTAATTTCCTTTAAACAAGTTCTACAACAATTTGAAGATGACTGCGTCGTTGTCGTTGCTGGCAAGCCACGACGAAGTGGTCCGATGTACAAATGTACTCGTAAATGGAGCTTGTGAAGAAGGTTTGATTTTCACATAATTATTCTACATAATGTTTTAATTAATTTGTATTAATATCTCTCTTAATATTAAATCATAGTTATAATTTATTATTATTAATATTATTTCATTATTAATTTATTTCTTAAAATCATATAAAAATGGAAATGCATATATCATTATGTTTCATAAATTGAAGAAATTTTACGTATTATATAAATTACACTTTACTACGTAAATATGTAGAATATAAGAAAATATTATCGTCATTTTATTCCTGAAATATAATTTTAAATAATATATTAAATTGAAAAAACATATTTTATTTTCCTATAGAATTTTTAAAATTTGCTATAAATCAAGAAGAAATGAGACAAAAATGGTTAGCATCTATACAAGAATGTCAACGTCTTCATACAGCTTTAGAAAAAGCTCATCAAGAAGCAGCTGATTTAGATAGAAAATTAAGCCATGCTAGAAGACTTCTAGATGAAGAGAAAAAAAGAAGACGTACTGTTGAAGAACAAAGAAATTCATTGGTAAATATATTTAATTTCCAACCATTTAAAAGAAATACTTTTTTAATCATATGTATTTAGGAAAGACAAATTGCTATGGTTAGAGATCTTTTATTTAATGACGGTGGAAGAAATTTAAATGATGAAACTCGTGAAAAATTGCAATTTTTAAATAATACTACATTAAATGGTCGACATAGTAATATACATATTAAAGATGTTCATCAAAATGAAAAGTGAGTTTCTTGCTATGAACGATATATTCGATATTGTTGATAAAAACAAATACTTGATTGATATTTTAAAATTCAATAATTATTATTTTCAGATTAAATACTATAGCGGAGCTGGACTCCACTGGCTCTATTTTAAGCGACTTAAGTTGTTTTTCAAAATCAGAAGATGATTTAGATATTAGTGCAATCATTCAACAAAATCAAAAGAAACGTGAATGGAAAGAGCACAGACCTAGTGGTGAATATTCCGCGAAAAAGCGACGTAGTGGAACACAAAAAACCACAGAATTAACTTCATCTGATAGAATAATAGCCACAACTACAGTAGTGATGCCAAAAGATGGCAATATCACTGCATCTTCTGTAATTGAAGCTATACCTGGAGATGAGAATCAAGATCCACAGGATCCTTTACATAATTCACCTAAGAGACGTAAAAGTGGTGATCGTAGTAGATCAAAGTTAACACCTCTTAATACAAATGAAATACAAATTGATACTGCTGTGAGTAATTTTATTTAAAAAAATTATTTTTTTCATATTTTCATTTTAATTTTAATATTAAAATTATGTTATAGCCGTCTGCACCAAAAATAGAAGCTCTCACATCAGGATCAGATTCTGAAGGTATCTTTAAACCTAGTCCAAATATTGGAGGATACACTTTAAATACAAAATCAGCTAGAGGACATAGTTTTATAGCAAAGACAGTAATTAAACCAGAAGTTTGTACACCCTGTGATAAAAGGTAAAATATGTAAGAAAGAATATTTATAAAAAGAGATAATAAACTAAAAATTATAAAAACAATTTTAATTGTACATAAATATATATATATATAATATTTTAGGATTCGTTTTGGAAAAATAGCTTTGAAATGTAAAGATTGTAGAGCCACAGCTCATACAGAATGTAAAGATTTAGTGCCATTACCATGTATACCTACTGGGAATACACCTACATTACGTGGCACATCAGTAAATATTTAGAAAATATTTATTAATTTATTAATAATAAAATAATTTATTATTAATAATTATTATAATTATTAATAATAAATTATTTTTAGGGAACAATAGCAGATTATACACCTATGATTCCACCAATGGTACCATCATTAGTTGTCCATTGTATTAACGAAATAGAATTAAGAGGAATGAGTGAACAAGGATTATATAGAGTAAATGGTGGTTCAGCAGAAGTAAAATATCTGAAAGAGAAATTCCTTAAAGGCAAAGGTGCCCCTAATCTTTCTGACGTTGATATTCCTACCATATGTTCTACTCTTAAAGATTTTCTTAGGTATATTATTAAAATAATTCATAGAAGGAAAAAAATTAATCAACTTATAAAATTTCTTTTATTACTTTTAGATCATTACGAGAACCGTTAATTACTGTCGGATTATGGGCAGACTTTGTTCGTGCAACTACTATTACTGATAAACAAGATGCTGATGCTGCTTTATACCAAGCAATTTCAGAATTACCTCAACCTAATAGAGATACACTTGCCTTTTTAATTTTACATTTGCAAAGAGTATCAAGCAGTCCAGAATGTAAAATGCCAATAAGTAATTTAGCTAAAGTTTTTGGACCTACTTTGGTGGGTTATAGTTCTCAAAAACCATCACCTACTTCTCTTCTTTCCGAGACGAATAATCAAGTTGCTGTTAGTATAAAAAATGAAAAATTGAAAATATTAATTATTTGGTTTTTTTAAAAATATAAGATTTTTATCTTTTATAGATCGTAGAAAGTTTATTGAAAATTCCCTCAGATTATTGGGCAAATTTCGTCAATCCTGAAAACATACATAATATTGGTACTCATAAAACTGGTGAATTACAGCATACACCATCCCAGGAATCTTTACTTAAACGTAGTATTTCCCGTGGTTTCTTTAATACTCCACTTGCTTCTAGGTTTGTATCTTCATTTTTTTTTTTTTTTAACTTGATAATAATGAGATGATACTCATACTAAGATATTGTTACAGTCGATCATTTATGAGAAAAAATAAAAAATACTTTGGGACATCTCCCTCTAGAGTAGCCTTCTAATGGTATGTACTTATATATTATATTTTCATCGATACATCGACAGTACAAATAATTCCTAAATAATTATTTGCTGTTTGATTATATTTTTTCATGTGCAACATGATATTTCTACATTTTATTCAAAATTTTATAATATTTTGATTAAAATATGTATGTAATGTATGGTATAGAATATTGTTAAAATATTGGAAAAGTACAATACTAGAGATTCGTATAAGTAAAATAATAATATATTATGTTAAGTATTTTCTATAATAATTTGAAATATATGAAAAATGTGCTGATATTGTTTCAACATTTTTCTAAATTGAGATTAATATAATATAAAAATGAAATGTTACGTATAGAAAAATAAATAAATGTCATATTTTTGTTAGTATATCATCTTTAAAAATGTAAAAATACGAATTTCTTTATTTCTCTCTCAATGTGACTTTACTTCGTTTTTTTATAAGTATATCAGTACACATATTAGTAACAAAAATTATAAATTTATTACCATCATTAATTTCGTAAACAAATATCTTATGCAAACTAAGTAAACTTGAAATATGTATTATAAACATTGCTTTTCAGTTCTTTTACATTGTTTTTTAAACACTAAAATATATCATTAATTTTTGTACATACTTTCGTTTTTATAAGAATAATTGTATCACAAGTACATAGTACAGTTTAAATTATTTCTTAACTATTTAAATGAGATACTTATTTTAATGATAGTGAAATTAAATTCCTTAAATACTATAATTAAGATGTTAACTTATAAAACAATATGTATGTTATATATTTTACTTGATATTTTAGTTCGTTTTCGTACATGATTTTTCTTTAATTTCCCAACAAGATTCCCAAAATTGTTTTAATCTGTTGTCCCCATTTGAACAAAAATGTCTAAAGTCTTGAATAAGTTTTTTTTGAAATAATTCATCGCCGATTAATGTAGATGACGATCTCCATTTTCGACTAATCATATGATTCCATGACCAAAGAAATCCAATCTAAATAAACAAAAATTAATTTCTTTTACTAAAAAAAAAAAATTACAAACACTTACCCTTTTATCTTTATTATAATCATCTTTATTTTTTCCGCTAACATGTCTTGTAATATATGCTTCATGAGGACTAGGTTGATCGGAATGAATTGGATATCCTTTCTGTCCTGTATTTCGTCTTACAATATTAGTAGCAGTTCGAGGACGAGTTTTTGTGTTTATTGTAGAAGGAATTAATATAAATGCATTGCCAGTCATGTGAACATATTGATGATCATTTTCAGTACTTTCTATTAAACATGGAACAAAACCAAATCTTTGTACGATTGTTTCTTGAAATAGAAAGAATCTTTGTGCATAGGTTTCCTCTCGAAATTCTGAAATCGGTGATATAAATGCAATCTTTTTCATTTCTTATTTTATATTTAATTATATAAAATAAAATTCATATTAATTCGTATTAATATCAAAATCAAACCTTCAAAAAGATGTCGTTTATTTGCCATAAGACATTCGGTATTTAACGGTATAAAAATAGGTCCCCTTAAAGGATCACTTCTTAAAGTGAATGGTAATGCTAACAAATCACTGGGAATAGGAACCATTTGAATTCCACATGTTTGAGCTTTACGTTGGCACACAAATATCTTTCCAAATTAAAATTCAAGTATAATAATTATTTTCAAAATATAATTTTGGTTTATTTATATAATGTGAAAAAATACTTACAAGATCAGCAACTATACTACCAGATGATGCAACCCATTGTACTACTAATTCATAAGAATGATCCACTTTATATATGGATTGATATCTTAAATGTCCCCATTCAATCCTATCACTTTTATTGTTTATATCTATATCTAAATGAGTGTGTTTATATAATGGAACTAAAAAAAAAAATTACCAAAGTAAATTAATATTGTCATTTCTTTAGAATTAGTAAAAGATAACAAAAGAATAATAAAAAATAATATATTTAAAATATAAAAGTACCTTGCCACTCTGCTTCATCTGCAATGTCTGATATGTCTAAATCATCTTTGAGAAACGATACTACGTTTGATTCATCCACGGTATCGCAGCTAGATATAGTCATCGGAGGAAATGATCCTGACGAGGGAGGTTCGCACCAACCTTTGGGTGCTTTTATTTCAACTTCTACCCATTCATTTTCAAAACTTTGCAAGTCTCCCAAAGGTGAAAAATAATCTCCAGCTTAAAAATAAAAATTATATTAAAAAATAAATATCAAATTTTTATATAATTAATAAACAAGTTAAGTTATCTTACCTCTTTGATTTTCTTTATCTTGTACTATATGGTATAAATAAAATCCTAGAATGAATGGTTTTGAAAAATCTCCAGATGCATGACATATTAATTTATCCTGTATCATACCCTAATGAAAATATATCATTAAAATATGATCAGTAGAATTTCTTTACATAAAAAAAAAATGATTTTTACATTCATTATATTAGTAGCATTCTCTACTGTCACTCCTCCTTCTATATGATTATTTAACCATTGTACTGCATCTGCACTAACAAATGTTTGGCTTGGAAGAGATGGATGTTGTGTAAGAAATCCCACTCCATTTTGTGAATGTTTCATTGCCTCTAGAATTTCATTATTCGATGCAGTATTTTTTAACTTCGTTAATTCCATGCTTGAACTGTCAATGACATTCAAATATTAATAAGATATTGATGGAAAATTTATGTGATGTATAAATTTGATGAAACTAGATATTTTACCTATCCTCATTAGAGTCAAAATGATCTTGCTGTTGCTCAAGTGAAAGAGGTAACACAGCTTCACTAGCAGGTGAGATTCGTCCTCTATCCATCACTTTGGAACCTGATCTAACAAAAACAAGTAAAATAATCAAGTAATACTTATAATGAAACATAGAAAAGAAACACAGAGCGATTGAAAAATTAAGCAATGTCTAAGATTGCAATATGGAAAGCAACAAAATTTATTTACATATGCATAATACCATTTGCATCTTTTTTCATACGATAATATAATATCTTCAATTAATATGTATGTATATAAAAAAATATAAAATTGATTTTTTAATGTTCAAATATAAAATATAAAAATAGTTTTATTATACTGTTCTCAAAATTATAATTATGTTTAATTAATTATAATTAATGTTTCAATAATAATAACATATAAGATATACATACATATTTTTCCATAATTGGAAAATATTCATATTTAAAGTTGAATTGAAAAAAGAATAAAACCAACCTGTTTGGCACGTGGCGAGGAGTGTCGAGGCACGTGCGGGCAGCCGCAGCGGTATTCACTACATGCCTCTCCTGTACAGAGAACCCCGTCACTCCCTCACTCACTACCAATATTTTCTACCAGAGTATTTGTACAATTTTAATTTTATTCTTGACAATTTTCTATAATATTTTATTATTAACTATAAATACATAGTACAAATACTCTGTATATTATTTTTACTAAATGATGTAAAGAAGGATGAAAGCAGCTGAAAAGTATAGAATGGGCAATATATACAAAGATTGTTCTTAAACATTTACAAATACAATCTTTTCTATTCTGCACACCCTTTCCAGAAATAGAACACATTAAAAATATTCATCACCTTTAAATTCATCACCAGAGTAGAAGCATGTAATATTTTTAAGCAAATAACAAAATATTAATTGAATAATTCGAATTTTAAACTGACTTCCTTTTTAATACTATATGATAATACTTAATACTTGGTGTATAAAGCATATACGCAAATCATTATTATTTTACTAATTTTATTTTATAAAACGTGCAGATGTGCAGTCTATCAAGAGTTTTGTGCAATATCGTTTTTACTATGCATTCCTTTATTAAAAAATAATTTGTTCATAAAGTTAAATAAATAAAGCTATATATGTGTTTGATATAATCGATAAAATCAATATAATTAACATAATTTTTATAATCTATATTATAAATAATATTAAAAATAATAATTATATATATATATATATATATATATATATATAT